ACAGTTGATATATGACTAACCGAGGATAATTGGTTCGGGTCTGATGAGGCTTTGAAAAGAATTGTGACACTTAGTCTCCAAGATGAAAACTTAAGTTGAAAAGATTGATCGGATGTTGACTTATGTGTAAACGACCCCAGAATAAATTTTTGATGATTCCAATAGCTCCGTATAGTGATTTTGGACTTAGGAGCGTGTCAGAAAAATTATTTGGAAGTCCATAGTTAAGGCTTGAAATGGCTAAAATAGAAATTTAAGCTTGGAAGTTTGACCGGGGAGTTGACTTTTTGATATCGGGGTCAGAATCTGATTCTGAAAATTTGAATAGGTCTGTTATGTCATTTATGATTTGTGTGCAAAATTTGAAGTCAATCGGAGTTGATTTGATAGGTTTCAGCATCTAATGTAGAAGTTGAAAATTCTTAGTTTCATTAAGCTTGAATTGGGACATGGTCCGTGGTTTAGCATTGTTTGATGTGATTTGAGGCCTCGACTAAGTTCGTATGATATTTTAGGACTTATTGGTATATTTGGTTGAGGTCCCGGGGGCCTCGGGTGAGTTTCGGATGATTAACAGATCAAATTTGGACTTAGAACAAAGTTGGAAAATTTGCTGCCTACTGATGCAACCGCATTTGCTGGAAAAATTGGACTTAGAAATCATGATTAGATTATGTGTTGGTACTGTAGGGACCCACAGAGGTCGTGTACCTGTTGAATTATCTGCTCAATTGCTATTTTGTAATGAGTCATGATTTTACTTGCATATTACATCTCAGTCTTTATTGTTCATTGTTGATACATTATATCATTTCTGTTGGGGCTGATTTTTCATGATTACTGAGAGCCTGAGAGACTGGAGAGATTTATGACTGAGTGAGGCCGAGGGCCTGATTGTGAGATATTATACTACAACACGTGAATTGTCCTTGCGGATCTAGATATTATACTATAGCACGTGAGTTGCCCGTGCAATACGTGAGTTGTCCGTACGGATCCGAATATTATACTATAGCGCGTGAGTTGTCCGTGCGGATTATTGCGCTTGGGATGAAGGAGCACCTCTGGAGTCTGTACACACCCAGTGAGCGCTGGTACCTACTAAGAGCGAGTGCCGAGTGTTGAGCGAGTGGAAGGACTAAGTGACTGTTGCTATGAGAGAATGCATTGATTTCGTTATTGTTGTACTACAGTTGTCGTATATCACTATTTTGGAAATTTCTGAGAGATATTATCTTCTGGTTCAGTCGAACTTGATATGAAAGTATTGTTTGGGCCTTAATTGTTGAACTTGCAAGCATGCCTACTTTCTTATGTTGGAAATTACTTTAATTTGACTTAGCTGTGAAGCTCGTCACTACTTTCAATTCTTTATTTAGTATTGTTACTTGCTGAGTTGGTTATACTCATACTACACCATGCACCTCGTGTGCAGATCCAGGTGCTTCTGGATACGGCGACTGTTAGATCTCAAAGTGTTATCAATTGGAGACTATCAAGGTAGCTGTTTGGCGTCCGTTGACCTTGACTCTCTTCCTTTCAGTTATTGTACTGTTCTATATTTTCAGACAGTATTTTTATCAGTCAGACTTTGCTATCAATTAGATGCTCATGTACTTAGTGACACTGGATTTTGGAAGTGTAATTGTATAAAAAATTATGGGATTTTCTGTTACATCTACATATTATGCTCTCAAATGTAAGAGATTATAGTGTTTTATTGAGGTTAACGGCTTGCCTAGTGTTGAGATAGGCACCATCACGACATGTGAGTTTTGGGTCGTGACAGGACCCGTCAAAGCTTCTTATTCTAATGGGTTCGAGTCGTTCACCTCGGCAAGATAGATACATCTATGGTTCGTATCGTTCGACCCTCGGCAGTGCGCACATTATAATGGATCGGGTCGTACGCCTCGGTAGAATTTTGTATCACACTCTCATGAGAGCGGGTCGTTCGCCTCGACAATAAAATAAATGTATCTATGGTTCAGAAATATTATGATGGATCGGGTCGTATGCCTCGGCATTTCTATAAAATACTCTTATGAAATCGTGCGTAATAATTGATAAGAAGGCAGTATATCTGTGAGTTTTCCTAATTTGAACTGTGGCGACCTATCTGGTGAGGTCCATTATATATACTCCGACTGAGGAGGTAACTACTAGCTGAGAGTTTGAGTTATTGTTGAGAGGAGAATTTTACCACGTATTTATACTTGTTATTTTATTTATTTTCTTTGACTCACATCTGTTTACTTCTACCGTATCTGTCTTATTGGACCATTCGTAAATGTTGATGTCGACCCCTCGTCACTACTTCTCTAGGGTTAGGCTAGATACTTACTAGGTATGCGTTGATTTACGTACTCATGCTACACTTGCTGCACATTTTGTGCATGTACATATATGTCTGGTGGTCTTTTGGGCGCAAAGGTCGCGGCTATTGCGGGGACTTTACCGTGAGCTGTATTTTATGTTACGATCCGCAGCCTACAGAGTCTCCATCAGAGTTATTTATATTCTCCTGTCTAATTTGTATTCCAGATAGATATTGTAGTTTATTATATTTCCTAGTTGATACTCATGCACTTGTGACACCGGGTTTTGGGAATTCCTACGAGTTGTTCATTATTGTAGTTCATGTAAATATTATTATTTACTCTGTAAATTCTATTTCATACTATTTAATTAATAAAAATTATGATTTCAAAGTAATAAAATTAGTAATTAAATTGTTCAATCTTTGTTTGCTTGCCTGACAACGGCGTTATGCGCCATCACGACCTATAGTAAATTTTGGATCGTCACAGTTACGATGTTACTCTCAATTCTCATGTGATGGGCTTAGAGTTAAATCCAAATTCCTACTTGTTTTTTTCATTGAAATAGAACTATATCAATTGTCGAATAACCTTAGGAGCACTTCATATTCATCCCCTTGTGTTCATTTTGCTCTCTATTTCTCCACTTTTTTTACTTTTATCAAATAAAACTATATATATACTCAGTGATATGGAGTACACGCGCAATACGCGTGCTTAGAACTAATAAAACAAAACTTATGACAAAACGTACAATTTGAAGCCTATATAAGCTTTTATCCCCTAAAGTATTTAAAGCCCGAGGTTCTTAAATTATTTTATTAATGGATATATAAGAATCATAAACGACGCTTATTTTATACCAGATGAAGCAGGGGCATAGGCACCTTACCTCAAACGGTGTTACGTAACACCGCTTCGTCAATTTGTTTAGTAAATATTTATGTATTGATCATAAGAGAAATAAAAATATTTGGTATAGATATAAAAAATGATACAATTATCGTTAAAGTGATTTATTTATTTATTTATTCACCTTTTCAAATATTAAACGTCGCTATAGTATAAGATACTAAATGCCATGTCAAGAATTTGATAGGACCTATGTCAAATTAGAAGAGATTGGATCCACCAATAAATAGGCTACATTGTTCAAGAAATGTTATGACATGGAGTTAGCTACATAAAAAAAATCATAATTTAAAAAGTTTTACGAACTTAACAAGAAATTACTAAAGCATTATTAAAGATTAATTAAGATGGTCAAATGCACAATTTGTAACAGACACAAGAAGAGACAAGTAAATCTTAGAACATAAACTCCAAGTTTTCACGACTTGTTCAAGATTATATTATTTTCTTTGTTCTATGTGGAATTAAGCTTCTTCAATGAGACAATGAGAGACCCCTAGAAGGCAAGAAGCATTTCAAAATTTCTTCCCCTTTTCCCTTGTCAAGCACAAAGTAAAATATTTTTCTTATATGAAGTCGTAGAAAAATAAAATAATTTTTTTCTGACTAAAGTACAATAGTAGCATCTTTCTTGATTCATGACAAAGTCAATAAAATATTAAGTAGTTTAATATAGTAATAAACTAAAAGAAGTTGTGTACCTTGTACCACAAAATGCTTTGGTATATGCCGAAACGAAAAAGACTTGTGAAACACAAAACACAAATTTTCACATTCCTCCCTTTTATTTTATTTTCTCTCTTTCTTTTTCAGATAAAATCATAAACGAAGAATCTAAAGTTTAAAAAAGACATGGTTGGGGCTATATGTTTGAAGAATTACTACGAGAGGAATAGGAAAAGTTGAAAAATAAATAAATAATGGGACACTCAGATATGCTCATTCACTGCTTATGGTTTATTATTTTCCCATTCCTTCGTAATAACTTTAGTCCCTCTTCATTTTCTTTGATTCATTCTTTTCAAACTTCTACTTCTTTATCATTCCCTATACAGGAATTTCGAGAATTACTCCCATAAAAATCTTTACAATTTCTTTGTTAGATCTCTCTCTTTCCCTCTTCATCACTTTTGATTAAACTATCTCTGATTTAAAGTAATATTACATCCGTTCCAGTTTATGTGAACTTATTTCCTTTTTTGTCCGTTCCAAAAAGAATGATCCCTTTCTAAATTTAGAAATAATTTTGTAAACTTATAATTCTACCCTTAATGAGAAACTTTTATAACCACACAAATACTCTGGGTCCCTTTTTGAATTGTTTAGGACCACAAATTCCAAAAGTCTTTATTTTTTCTTAAACTTTGTGTCCAGTCAAACAGGTTCACATAAATTGAAACGGAGGGAGTATTTTGACAAATTGAATTTGTTTTAAAATATTAACGTTAAATAGAAGTAATTTATTTTGTCAATCTATCCTAATTGTTCCACATAGTGAAACGTTAGTCAAGTGATCATTTAGAGTTTTAGACTAGTATTTTTATAATTAAATCTATTAAATATCTTTCTGAAAGAGTGCAAGCATTTTAAACAGGAAATTATACGTATCAATAGGAATATGTTTTATCTGATTTAGGAAAATTTCCATAATCACTCGAACTATTCTACATTGAATTCCCTTCCATTCATCAATATATTCGTTTTTTCTAGAGCCCTTGTCATACTTAAAAATTTCTACACACAGCTATTTCCGAGTAGTAAAACAAAGTCGGACACCCAATAGAACAAGTCTATCATTGTACTTGACACCACCAAATGGCATTACCTCTTTATAGCCGGCCACTTCATTCTTCCTCTTATATGTACTTCACTCCTTACTATTCCACCAATTCCTTTTCCCTTCTCCAAAATCCATAAGGAACAAGGAATTATGGAAGATTGAGATATTGTAATCACAACCTCTCTATGCACTACACGTTCGTTTGTCATTATTTCTAATCTCGTTCAATTCTTTACAGGCACATATCGATAAAGTGATCATCGAAAATGGATCGACTATTAAGCTTAGAACCAACAAATCTGGTGACGATAAGATTTGAACCAGGTCAGAAGTGTTCAGGGGAGTTAACTCTCCGGAACGTTATGTACACCATGCCAGTGGCTTTCCGACTACAGCCAGTGAACAAGACACGTTACTCGATCCGTCCTCAATCGGGTATCATCTCTCCATTAACCACAATCACCTTAGAGATCATTTACCATCTCCCTCCAAACACAACTCTCCCTAACTCTTTCCCTCATTCTGATGATTCATTCCTCTTACATAGTGTTGTTGCCCCAGGAGCTGCTATTAATAAGAACCCTTCTTCCACCTTAGACATGGTCCCAAGTGATTGGTTCACCACTAAGAAAAAACAAGTATTTATTGATAGTGCTATTAAAATCATGTTTGTTGGTTCACCTGTATTATGTTATCTAGTAAAAAAAGGTTACATGGATGAAATTAGGGAAGTATTAGAAAAAAGTGACCCTAATTGGAAACCAGTTGATTCAGTTGACTTTGAAGGTCAAACTTTACTTCACTTAGCCATTTCACAAAGCAGGCCTGATCTTGTACAATTACTACTTGAATTTGGGCCTAATATTGAGGCCCATAGCAGATCATGTTCAAGCCCACTTGAAACAGCAGCAGCAACAGGAGAATCACTAATTGTTGAACTCTTATTAGCTAAAAAAGCTAGCACTGAAAAAACAGAGTTCTCTGCTTCTGGTCCAATACATTTAGCTGCAGGTAATGGCCATTTGGAAGTACTAAAACTGCTTCTACTCAAAGGTGCTAATGTGAATTCTTTAACAAAAGACGGGAATACGGCTTTACACCTCTCTGTTGAAGAACGAAGGAGGGATTGTGCGCGTCTTTTGTTGGCGAATGGTGCTAGAGCTGATGTACGAAATGCTAAGAATGGTGACACGCCTTTGCATATTGCTGCTGGTTCGGGAGATGAACAGATGGTTAGAGTTTTGCTTCAAAAGGGAGCTGAGAAGAATATACGTAACAACTATGGCAAAACGGCTTATGATGTTGCAGCTGAATATGGCCATAACAAGCTTTTTGACGCCCTCCGTTTAGGTAATCTGAATTGGATTAACTGAGTATACTACCTTTGACTCCAGCTATATTATACGAGACACACATATACATATCATATATAGAAAGGTTAAAAAGTAGTTATATATTAGAAACATAATTTTATTTATATACAATGATAATGTAAAGAATATTTTACACTAAAAGTATATTTAACATGTGTACCAGTTGATCGGTCTAATTTTTTAGTTTACTACCCCCTCTTATCATGCGTTGACTGTTACATTATTTAATTATCTTTTAGGTGAACAGGTAATGTAACTCTTTTGTTATATTGTCAGCGCACATATAGAAGTTAATCTCATTAATAACAAAGTTTAACTTCTGTGAATTATTGGTGTATAATATTTCATTTTTGTAGTATTAGGTCGAGGTAATCTATAATAACATGTAAGTGTTAATAGTAAACCTAATTTAATTATCTAGAAAATAAGGTAAATAACCTGAAATAACTGATTAAAATATTGATAGCGTAAAAATTCTTTATATATATCTTCAATGCATATAATTTAAACCTTAGTAAATAGATTGCACGGCTGATCTAAATTCTTGATTTGCCTCTGTAGGTGACAGTCTATGTGTGGCGGCTAGAAAAGGCGAAGTAAGAACCATACAAAGGTTGCTAGAGAATGGAGCTAGCATCAATGGACGTGACCAACACGGTTGGACTGCATTGCACAGGGCATGTTTCAAAGGAAGAATAGAAGCTGTAAAGGCATTAATAGACAATGGAATTGATGTAAATGCAAGGGATGAAGATGGATACAGTGCCTTGCATTGTGCAGTGGAATCTGGCCACGTTGATATAGCCGAGTTGCTAATTAAAAAAGGCGCAGATATTGAGTCAAGAACTAGTAAAGGGATTACTGCATTGCAAATTGCAGAGTCATTGCATTATTCTGGTCTCACTAGGGTACTAATGCAAGGTGCAACCAAAGAACAAGTTGGGGCAATGGAGACAAATTTTGTGAAATCGTCTGGGAAAATGGCTGTTAAAGATGTAGAAATTGGGAATGTCAAGAAAAGATCTGTTAATAAATCATCAAGAGTTCGGAGGAGCAGCTTTGATAGGACTGTTCCATTGGCTGTTGTGTGATAATTTCTTGAAGTTAAATGAACTGAATATTCCTTCTTTGTTGAGGAAAGAATGTTTCATCCTCTTGATTTGGGTGATCGGAGTAGATATTATATAAAAGACAGTTTAGTGCACTAAACTCCCATTATGTGTAAAATGATCAGATTCGTCGAGTCATCAATAGTAAGTTGTTAGGTTTTAATAATTGTAGTTGCTCTATTCCAATGCCAATATCTTTTACTTTTCACGTATTGTTGTTGTATCTGCTTGTTTGGATAGTTGTTACCTATTATATTGTATCTTATTGTTACTTTAAATATAACGTTTGTTTTAATTGTTACTTAAATTTTATTGAATTGTATCATTAAATCCGTCGTCGTTAAGTAATAACTAAAAGTGTCATTTTATGTAACGACCGATTGGTGTGGTCGCGTAGTTACTCTTTTTACCCACAAAGCTAATGTGGGAGACACATCAAATGCCACAGTGGACGTGCACAGTCAGCTAAAGGAGAAAACACTCAGAAGGAGCACACGCATGAAGGCTCTGCCTAAAAAGTTAACTGATTTTGTAATTGAAGCTGGGTGATGAAATTGCGTGAAGCGGAGTACGTGAAGGGCAATGTGTAAAGATACTAGTTAGTTATAAATAGCTATCAGTAAGAATATTAGAGGAGACTATTGTGATAGTGGAAACTCTATCTCCTTATCTCATTCGGTAAATCTCTCTTCTCATCTCCTCCTGCAATACTGCTCTATTAATATTCTCCTAATTTAGTTTACTTGTAATTCCAATTGAGTGATTAATACAATCGTTAGTTCCATTGAGTTTCAGTAAATCAGATTGTTTCATTGGTGCTTTCATCCCGAGGTCCTTCCATGGAGGACCAAAAGGTACTCAAGGCTCTTGTTGATGATTCGGTTCGTGATTTAATTCGTGAGGTGAAAGATTCAATTTCTAAGGAAATGACTGAGATGCGTGAAATATTAATGGAGATAGTATCCACTAAGGTTTCGATGGGAGATAGGCGACAGGAACTCGCACCGGTGGCCAGGACTCCCCGACACAAACAAGCATCAGTGGAGTTTGGGTGGTTCTATGGTAACAACCATGATGCCTGGATATTCCTAGCGGACCGCTATTTTGATTTTTACAAAATTGAGGAGGACCAGAGATTGACAGTGGCTTCATTCTATTTTGACGGCGAAGCATTGGAGTGGTACAAATGGTTATTCCGCAATAAACAGTTGGTTGACTAGCCACACTTTGTGGAGAAGGTGCGTATACGTTTTAAGGAGAAGGGGCTCGAGTCGGTAGAGGGACGTTTGGCGAAGCCCCGGTAGGTCACCACCGTGTCTCAGTTGCAAAAACGATTTGAGGCCATCGCTAATAAGACCGACGACATGTCGGATAGACTCATGGTTAGAATTTTTATATCTGGGCTTATGGATGATATTAAAAAGCATGTGTTGAGCGATGGGCCTAAAAATTTTGAGGAGGCTGTCTCGTTGGCCAACATCCATTAATGATGGATTCTGATTGAGAAGGGTCCTGTTTGACCGCTTTAGCTAATAAGGGGCTTCTCTTTTTTACAGTCTCAGTTCCTCTGCATACAATCATCCTTCACCATCGTTCGTTTCCACCAACCAGGCAACACCGACTAAACCTCATATTATATGTCTCACCCATGCAGAGATTCAGAGTCATCGTGAGCGCAACCTATGCTATTATTGCGAGGAGAAGTATTCAGCGGGCGATAATTGAAAATCGCCACCTCAACTGCTTCTCCTCACTGATGGATCTGATGTGGAACCCACCTTACCAAAGCCTTTGTCTCTAATGACATTTTTGCAGAGGAGCTGCAATGCCTTGAGCTTAAGGAACGATCCACTATATCATATCATGCATTGGCTGGCAAAAATTCTTCGTTCACTCTCCGATTTCTGTGACATGTGAATGGGTCCCCCGTCCAGGTTCTGGAGGAAGGTGGTAGCAACCATAACTTTATCCAGGCAAGGGCAGCTAAGTTTTTACAACTTCCCTGTAACGACCCGACCGGTCGTTTTGAGCATTTTCACTTCGCTTGGTGGTTTGAGGGAATGAGTAGCTCTGTATGATATATTATGACTTATGTGTACCATCGATTTTGGTTTTGGGGTGATTCGGAATTAGTTTGGAAGGATAAATTTCATGTTTGAAGCTTTAAGTTGGAAGAGTTTACCAAGTTTGACTTTTTTAGTATTTGACCTCGGATCGAAGTTTTGATGGTTCCGTTAGGCCCGGATGGTGATTTTCGACTTGGGTGTAATCCCGGATTCGCATTTGGATGTTTCTAGAAGTTTTCGGCACTATTTGGCGAAAGTTAGCAATTTGAAGGTTTGTAATGTTCACAAGTTTGAACGGGAGTTGACTTTGATGATATCAGGTTCGAATTATTATTTCGGGAGTTGGAATAGGTTCGTTATGTCATTTGGAACTTGTATGTAAATTTTGGATTCATTCCGTATTGGTTAGGCTTGAATCGGACGCTTGGTTCGAAGTTAGAAGTTTATGAACTTAAGAGATTGATCTTGATCGACGATTCGTGGTTTTAATTTTAATATGTGTGATTTGAGGCCTCGAGTATGTCCGTAATATATTTTGAGACTTGTTGGTATGTTCGGACAGGGTCCCGAGTTGCTCGGGTGAGTTTGGGTGGTTTCGGACCATTTCTAGGCCATTTTGAGTTAATGGATTTTGGCTACAGCAGTGTGCATCACGATCGTGGACTTTGGTTCGTGATGAGTAAAATGGGAAAAGGGCACCCGTGATTAGCGGAGCATTCTTCGCATTCGCGAAGAATAAATTCCGTTTTCACTAACATGACTTTAGAAGCTTATATCTTGTAATCTATAAGGAATTTGGAGATGATCCAAAAAGAAAAGTTGTAGCCCTTTGTGTTTAGTTTTTAGAAAAATCAAATTGTTTGTCTATTAGAGTTTTGTAGAAAAAATTTATGACTGATACACTCCAGGCTGTCTGGAAGAGTTGGGCAAGCTTGCTGGAATTCGTTCGTCGCGATCACGGGGGAATGCTCGCGATTGTGATGTTGGGGACTGCCATCGCAATGTTGGGGACCGCGATCGCGAAGAGGGAACCCTAGAAGTGCATTAAAACATCAAATTTCTAGATTTTGAGTTCATTTTAACATATTTTGAGCTATGGAGCTCGGATTGAGGCGATTTTGAGGCAATTTTCACCATATGAATTAGGGTAAGTGTTCTTTACTCGGTTTTGATTATATTTCATGAATCTACGTTCATTTTTGGCATTTGGTTGATGATTGCAAAAGAGAAATTGGGGGGGGGGGTGTCTAAAATTTCATAAAGTAAATTTTTGAGTTTTGAACATATTCAGAGTCAGATTTGAGTGAAACTAGTATGGCTGGACTCGTAATTGAATGAGTTATCGGATTTTGTGAGTTTTGTGACGCTCCAAGGTGCGGGCCCAGATTTGACTTTTTGGTTGACTTTGGGCTTTTGATTAAAGATTCTACCTTTATCGATTGGGTTTGTTTCCTTTGGCATTATTTGATGTTCTTGAGTTGCTTTCCCCGCAGCATCGTTTTGCTTACTTGGTATTAGATTTGGCTTGTTCGAGGTAAGTAACACTTCTAAACTTGGTGCTGAGGATATGAACCCCTAAATATACGTGTTATGTGTTCGGTGTTGAGGTGACGGGCGTGTAGGCATGCACCGTGTGAAGTATGATTCGGTTGATTTCGCGATACTGTGTAGCTACCTAATCTTATTTTTATTTATGAAATTTCTACGTGCTAGAGAAATTGAGTTGTGATCCATGTTAGAATCATGTTTAGGCTATATGCTTATTCTGTTGGGACCCGCTGAGGTCATTTTTGTTGTTGAGTTATTTTCTTAAATTGCATTTACATACTCAGTCATATTCATTCATTTGTATATCATATCTCAGTCTCTGTTATCATTTGTTGTCATATCATGTTGTTATCATTATTTGGGATGTTAGGCATGAGATTTGTGAGCCCGAGAGACTGGAGAGATTGATGATTGAGTTGGGCCCTGAGAGCCGGATTGTGAGTGATATTGATGGGATCGGGATGCACGCCGCAGTAAGTGTTATTGATTCATGATGGGATCGGGCTACATGCCACTGCAGGTATTATTGATTCAAGATGGGATCAGTGTCTGCACACCCACAGTGAGCGTATTTACTATTGATTCATGATGGGATCGAGCTGCGCGCCATAGCAGGTACTGTACAGTGCTGAGTGACTGAGTGTGTTGAGTTATTGAGCGTGATGAGTGGGAGTGTGAGAATGTGATATTGAGTACTCTGAGAGTGTGAGAATGTGATATTCAGTACTCTGAGAGTGTGAGTACATGAGTTCATCATTGTGACGTATTGCATCTGACGTGCATACTTGTCATATAAGCATAGAGATGCATTTCCTCATGTTACACGGTTTTGTGACATTTATGACTTCACATGCACATTGACATGTAGGCATAGAGATGTACTTTCCTCATGCTATATGATATTGAATCACCTTATCTGTTGTTGAAAGTTTTTGGGAAAAATCAAAGGTTTCTAACTCATATTTTGGTAATTTCGATGAAGGATTTGGGTTTTACCGTTATACTTGAAAAGCATGACTATTTTCCGTAACTGTGAACTAGTTGAGCATCATATCTCTGAGTCTTGTACCACTTTTATTATATTGTTATGAGTTGTTGTTGGCTATTGGTATTGGAATCTAACCTTTGTCCCAGCTCATCATTATTTTCAATCGAAGGTTAGGTTTGTTACTTATTGAGTACATGGGGTCGGTTGTACTCATTCTACATTTCTGTACCTTACGTGCAGATTTTGGATGCTGACATTGCTGTGTACGGTGGTAGCTAGCATGTAAGGCGTACCTGGGTTCCGGTCATAGTTGCCTCTTATTCTTGGTAGCTTTAGAATGATTAATCGGTTTATGTATATTTCAACAGATGATGTATTTATTTTATACCAGCTTTGTAAATTCTAAATCCTAAAAGCTCATGATTTGTTGTAATGACCCGGCCGGCCGTTTTGAGAGAATTAGCCCCGAACCCCTAATTTTTGCTTCATATACTTCATTTAGTAGTTATGTAACTTGCCGGGAGAATTTGTTTTAGTTTCGGAGTGAAATGGGACACTTAGTCCCTAAAATAGAAATTTAAGTC